TGCGGGTTCGGATGGGATATCTGGCGTGCAGTCGCTGTCTCTTATACACATCTAGATGTGTATAAGAGACCACACACACACACACACACACACTCAAACACATGTAGCATTCAAATGCATGCCGGATCGTGAACACCCAGCGCAGTCAATGTGTTCTTAAAGAAAAAAAAAAAAAAAAGAACTGCAGCGCAGTCAAACAAAAAACAAAAAAAGGAACTTCACGCTGCAGCCCCGTCCTGGTAGCGGTTGACTGTGTTCTATTCATGATATTATTACTAATATTTACTATATACTTTTTTTCTTTTTTTTCCCCTTGCCTTAAGAAAGTTGCACCCTAAAATTCGTTCTACAAGGTACGTACCTTGTATTCGAATACAAGGTACATACCTTGTTTTCAGGTTAAGACGGCAAGTGGGAATGTTGTGAATCTAGCCTGCATCGACGAGATCCAGTGGGCGACTGGTACTTCTGAGTGTGTGACCGGTACTTCCAGGCTGTATTCCTTTCTTGTCCTTCATGTTTTTTTTTTTTTTTTTTTCCTTCTTTTTTTTTTCTGTGCCACCCCACTGTGGGAATGCCGATGATGAACAAAAACGATATGGTACTAGCAGGGACGCTTTCACAGTGCTTGTGTGAGTATGCCATGGCCTTTCTACCAGAATGGAGTAGTTCATTTTTGCTGCGATTACAGATACATGGAGCAATGTGCTCTTGTGAGTATGGCCCCCGCCCGGCGCCCTTCTGCCGCAATTGAAGAAAACTAAGAAAAAAAGTAAAACCTACTAGATTCTGGCAGATCCCGCCTTCCTAGGCGGGCACATTGGACGCAGGTCCTTGCGTCACAACGCTCCAAATGAATGAGAATGAATCATCGCCATCTGTTTTCTTCTTCGTAGTTGTGGTCAGCTATGTTTTTGTTTTTGCTGTCGCCACCACTCTGAATGTATGCCGAGGCTCAACCGAGCCTCTACCGGGTCTGCCTAGGTCCCTCCTTGAATTCAGGGATTTCCAAGAGTTTGCCTGGGCAGGGTAAAGTTGTGTGTGGGTGTGGGTGTGGGTGTGAGAGAGAGAGAGAGAGAGAGAGAGAGAGAGAGAGAGAGAGAGAGAGAGAGAGAGAGAGAGAGAGAGAGAGAGAGAGAGAGAGATCCGGTTCGTCAATTGCATACATTCGTGTCCGTGCGAAAACACAGACTGAGAACACTACTCATTTCTGGGTTTTGCCAATGGAATGAATGCCTTGCGTGCGTAGATGTTACATACTTCAATGAGTATGGGCAGAACCAAAGATCAACCAATGTAGGATGAGCATATATGCAGCGGAAGTCTGATAAACGGACTGACTCACATAGACTGACTCACACAGACTGACTCACATAGCATCACTCCACACACATACAATCGTGAGGTGGTGGGGTCTGAGCCATACATAGAAGATGCTCAGCCCCGTACACACATACACAGATGAATGGGGGAGGAGAGACGAAGAGGTGGGGGGAGGTAGACAGCACCGAAAGTCACCGAGATAGAATCTGATAGGTCACCGATATGGTAGTCCAAAATGTCATCCAACAAGATCAAAATGTCGAGGACCACAGGTCACCAATGTCGGGGATACAGAGTCCAAATGTAACCGGTGTCTGAACTGTGATGTCGCCAAGTATCAACCCCAACGATCTCCAAGTCTCCAATCCGGTAAGTACCACAGTCTCATACCACCGAAGTCCAACACTGATCTCGGTCCAACTAGTATAAGTCTCCAATCTGAAGAAGAAGAAGGAGAAGAAGAAGAAGAAGGAGCCGAGGAGGAGAGAAAGAGAGAGGGGACTGGCGATGGGAGGGAGGAGAGAATCCTCCAACTCCCAATACCTCAGGCGGCTACGGCCGCCGGTAACCCAGTCGCCGCTGCTGCTGCTCCGCTCACTGCGGCTGCGCTAACCTGCGCTGCGCTGTTCCTCGCTGCTCCTGCGCTAATCTTAGCGCCAGCGCTGTATCGCGATGTACCATACCGTACCGGTAGAATGCCGGTAGGTCGATGCTGGACTGAGGCTGGACCGGTTCTATATACCGGTGGGGCAGAGGCCGACCTCAATGCTGCGAGGCCTGGCCGWGCCCTGAACCGTCCAGATGGACGGTTCAGCCCCAACCGGCGGGCGGCAGCCTCAAGAGCGCCGCCAGGCCCAAACGGTAATGTCGTTTGGGCCTGCCCGTCGGGTCTGGTCCAAGGTGAGGCCTTTATGGCCTGTAGTACCCCCAAGGTCGGGCCTTTAGGCCCTGATGTGTCCCTCTAGCCCTAAGTCGGGTCCGGTAGGACGCGTGTGGCGTCGAAGATGTGACAGTAGATTCCCGCATCTTTGCCGGGTTTTCTAAGTCTCTGTGTGGGCGTGCTTGTTGTCTGCGTACCTGTCTGAGTGCTTGTCGGCTTGAGCTCCTGTCTGAGTGCTTCTCGGATTGAGTGTGTGTGATTGACCCGCAAGGGGCATTTGTTGTTTCAAAGTTCCCTCCCTGTTGTGGATGTGCTCTCTGTTCTTGGTTGCATGACCACATACTTGGGGCGTACGGCAATCTCTGCGGGTTCTTGCATGCAGGTATAGGGGATCCGGATGTTATTTTGTTGAAGTTTATGCTCACAATTCCCTCTCTGTTGTGGATGTGCTGTCTGTTCTGACATCAATGACCACATACTTGGGGCAAACAATGCAGGTATAGGGGATCCCGATGTTATTTTGTCGAAGTTTATGCTCACAATTCCCTCTCTGTTGGGGATGTGCTCTCTGTTCTGACCTCAATGACCACATACTTGGGGCAAACGACAATCTCTGCGGGATCTTGCATGCAGGTTTAGGGGATCCCGATGTTATTTTGTCGAGGTTTATGCTCACAATGGCCTCTTTGTTGTGGATGTGCCTCTCTGTTCTTGGTTGCAGCTCGCAAGTACGGAGGAGTACATTGACGGGCAGTTCACCGGAAACCTTGGAGAAGTTCTTATAAGGTAATCTTCCCATTCTCCTCTTTTGCCCCCCATCATTCATGCGACTATGGCACAAACGGGGGAGTGTGCATACGTATGTATCTTTTCTCCCTTTTTTAGGAGTACATTGATGGGGAGAACTCCGTGTTTCTGCAATGCGACAATGGCATGAACGAGAAGTGTAGAGGGAAAAAAGAGGTTAGGCCTTCACTGTCAGTCTGTTCCGACTCGGCAGTTTGGCGGTTGCATGCCTTCTATGGAGGACACGGAAATGACAGAAATTGGAAGATGTGGGAGAACATGAGGACGAAGTACATAATGGAAGATGTAAAGGAGCGCTAGAAAGCAGAAATAAGGTATGCACTCCATGCGACCGAATGAAAAAGGTGTGTGTGTGTGTGTGGGGGGGGGGGGGGGGGGGGGGGGGGGGGGGGGGGGGGGGGGGGGGGGGGGGTAGTGAGAGTGATGTGCAGCTGCTGGCATTCAAGGACAGAGACGTAAAGGGACGACAGATGGAAGTTCTTAAGTTTTTTTCTGATCTTGACTAGTGCTTGCAGTCTATGGCAGTCATTAGGGATGGAGTTAGCAGAGGCAAAGCAGCAGGCACAAGATCGGGATTGGAAAAGGTTGATCTTGTTAGGAATCGTGTGGAGTCAGTTCTGGTTTCGTGTGGTCTGGTCTGGTCTGGTCTGGTCTATTTTTCTCTTTTTTTTTGTACTTTTCTTTTTGTACATGCCGCTGTGCCTAGCATGATTTTGTTTACGGCTGGTTTTGAACCCATGATCTGGTTGTAAACAATGACATGTGTACCGCTCGGGCTCACAAGGGAGGTGCGAGTCTTACCTGCTACTAATGTCGTGCAAAACAGGTTTCCGCGAAGTCTCTGTGGATTTCCAGCTGCTGTGACTGTTGTGAACCATGGGAGGCTTAATGGTTACTGTTGTAGTTGTTGGTGTTTCCCTTTTTGTTTGGTTTCCTTCGGCCCCCCACCCGCCCTACCCCCCACACCTGCCTGCCCACCTCTTTCGTCGATGAAAAAAATTGATGGTTCCAGTTTGGATGACAGATCAATAATTGCTAGCTCTGATGCTGTCTTGTGATGGGGTGTGAACCGACAGTCTGTACAGTTTTCTATCCGGTGTGGGTGAGTGATAGTCTGCTTTGATTTTCGTTACAGGTACCTTGAGTGCAGTGGTTGGTGCCCACCTCAGGGTATCAGTTGTCGTGCGATTGTTGATGCTTAACCATAACTGGGATTAAGGTGGATTATCATCTACAGTGTAATCAGATAGGGGAATCTGCAGAACGTCGAGGGTTCAGCCTCCTGATGAGTCGGTGAGACTCCGACGAAACAGTTTGTCACAGCCCCTCGTTTGTTGTCCTCTTCTCCCTCTCTGCATACGGTTTACCAGTCATTTCTGTTGACGATATATATATACATACATATATACATATAGGTTCAGCCTCCTGATGAGTCGGTGAAACTCCGACGAAACAGTTTGTCACAGCCCCTCGTTTGTTGCCCTCTTCTCTCTCTCTGCCTACGGTTTACCGGGCAGTTCTGTTTGTGACGATATATATATATATATATATATATGAGTCGGTGAAACTCCGACGAAACAGTTTGTCACAGCCCCTCGTTTGTTGTCCTCTTCTCCCTCTCTGCCTACGGTTTACCGGGCAGTTCTATTTGACGATATATATATATATATATATATATATATAGCTCTGGATCAGAAGCATTGCCCTTGATCCGGTCCGAGGTACGTCTGTTGCACAGAGCTTGCAATAATAATGTCTTGCCTTTCGAATGTGCTCCTCTCTGGACCGTTTTGGCCAATAACGAGGCTTGGGGCTCCATTGTATTTTGGGGTTGCTGGCAGTTCATAGTAACTGGGTGCAGTCTTTTGTTACAGCAGAAGTAATGGGGTGGGTAATGTTTCATATGCATGTGCCTGTCGGCGCTGTCCTCGTTCTCATTCTGATCCTGGTCCTGTTCTGGGGCTGGTTGTGGTCTTTTGGTGGTGGTGGTGGTTTTGTTGAACAGGTGCAATAATGTTTTGTACCTGCGTGGTGTGCCCGAAGATGAAGAGGCGGTAGAAGAGGATTAATTACTAATTAGGGAAATGACGAGAGGATCAATTTTGGCCATGCAAGCGGCAGATATGAGGACTGATCAGACAAACGATTCATTGGAGGGGCACTTTTGACGTGCTGTGTAATTTCCTTTTCTGTCTGCTCTTTTTTCTTTCTTTCTTTCTTTCTTTCTTTCTTTCTTTCTTTCTTTAACTCGCTCGCCCAGCCCCTTGTGTCTATTCTAAGGGCCTCGGCACACCACTCTCGAAATGGGAAAACGGCAGAAAATTGAGGCGGGTGCATCTGGCCATGTTCTAGCGGGAAGTTCATTCTCATTCTGCACATTTCGACAGTGGTGTGGCGATGCCCTAAGAATCTTCCCCTGTTTGTTTTTTGAGGTTTAAGCGTATTCGAGCAGAGAAAAAGTGTCAGGGCACGCCCACGCTGGGACGTTTTCTGCGGAGGTCTGGTCATGATTGCGATCAGATGCATCCAGGTCCGGCAAACGCTGAAATTGTGCAGTTAGATAAACTTAACGAAGTGCAAGTGTGGGTGGGTATGGCCTCAGTCTATCCTTCAGGACATCCGGTGAAATTGGAACGATACAGAGAGACAATTAGCATGGCGCCTGTGGAAAGATGACACACGTAACGGTACGTCCAAATTCTGTACATGAGTAACGCTCCTGGGTAGGGAGCAAGTGTCCACCCTCTTCAAAGAGAGAAATAAAGGAGAAAGGGAAAAAAAAGAAAAAAGGAAAAAAAACTACCTGTCTTTTTCCTGCGCCAATTTATTATTCCCCGGGGTAGGATTGGTTGTCTCGTGTTTTCTTGCAGCAAGTCTCATTCCTGTAAAACACGTCTTCAAAGTTTTCACCCTTCAAAGTATTCCCCGGGGGTATAGGGGTATAGGGGGGTACAGGGGTGGTGTAGGGGGTATTGGGGGGGCGTATGAGGGTGTTGGGGGGCGGTTTGGGGGTATTGATATATATCGTCAAACAGAGGGGCCGGGTGAACCGTAGGCAGAGAGGGAGAAGAGGAGAAGAAACGAGGGGCTTTGTTAAACTGTTTCGTCGGAGTTTCACCTCTCTTGTGATGTCGTTTTCGTAGGAGCATTGGCGTCTGTGATGAACCTCACATACTACTCATCTTGCGGGTTCGGATGGGATATCTGGCGTGCAGTCGTTGAGGCTTTACGGTCTTAGACTTCCTTCCCTGCCGATTGTCCGCACCGACGCATTCATTATTGGATACTCGGCGGAGGTTTCAGCATATAGCCAGATGTAGCCGAGATAGCCACTTCAAAGTCTCGGGCAACCCTTATCGCTCCATGTAACCACACATGACCACAAATTAACATAATGCTGCATACCGGCTTTGTCGAGGAGACGTGTCATCCCTACCAACAAGGAGTTGCAGGAAGAGGTCAGCTGCTCTCTCTTGCCCAACAAAAAGAACTGATTGCCGTGTGAGTCACGCCAACTCAGGCCATCGCCGCTGAAGTTCTACGACATGCATCATGGCAGGAGGCTGCCTCCCACCCGCTGTGCAATCTTCAGCCGCAACAGTCATCGTGCTTTGCCCCTCCCAGCTGGCAAAGTGACCCCTGCATTCTCCATGGCAGAAAGCCTGTTGACGTTTAACACGAAGACCGAGTCCCAAACAACAAACAATAAACCTCGACTCGATAAACCAGAATCAATGTCAAACAGATGCTGCAATGAATGCATGAGCTGTGTGTGTGTGTGTGTGTGTGTGTGTGTGTGTGTGTGTGTGTGTGTGTGTGTGTGTGTGTGTGTGTGTGACCACCACAATAACCCTTGTTCCACCCAAATCAGTAGATCTAAAACCGAAGCAACTTCACCTTTATTGCAAAGTTGCAAACAATGAAACACACTAAAGATCTGTCAGTCCAAATGAAACAGCTTTACCTCTATAGAAGCAATGTGACGCACGGTAGATCTGTTACATACTTTTTTGAAGATCTTTACTTTTGACTTTCTTATGGGTATCCACTTTATTTCTTGTAGCTTTCTTTTTACCACAGCTCTTGCGTACAAGGCTCGCCACATTGATTGTTGTTGAGTGCAAACTGCCAACGTCCCCGTGCACGATAATGGTCTATGTGCACGCTATGCAGGCAGAGAGAGTAAAGAGGGAGGTATACTCTATGGTGCACATTCTCATGCGTTTAGTAGTAGTGCACAAGAGGAGGGAGAAAGGAATGGGGCCGGATGTGCATCGTGTTTGTTTGTCTTTTTTTTTTTTGTTGTTGTTGTTTTGTGTGTGTGTGTGTGTGTGTGTGTGTGTGTGTGACCACAATCATTTTCTTTAATAGTAGTACTACCATTTTTCCTCCCACCCCCAATAGTCTTCCAATCGGGTCTTTCTATGCACCACACATCCTGCCCACATGATACTGCACCCAAATCACATCCGCCTCCTGATTTTCTTTAATTTTTCAGTCACAGAGAGAGAGAGAGAGAGAGAGAGAGAGAGAGAGAGAGAGAGAGAGAGAGAGAGAGAGAGAGTTTGCCTTGGGTGCGTCTTCATTTCTGTGTATTGGGAACCGGGCCCAGTAGGCCCAGCATCCTATGCTGACAAAATTGGTTGCTCTGGCCGACGGGCCAGAAGATTAACTGCTGCACGACGACCACAACTTTGTGTGTATACGCGTCTGTGCGTGTCTGAACAATCGGGTCTTCCCTCTCTCGAGGTCATCAATCCTCCCTGGTGCAACCCCTTCCCCCCTACTCTTCCGCTCCGTCAGTTCCACTGCAATTACTATAACAGCCCCCGCCACCGCTACTATAGCAGCTACTATAGTGTTTATCTCGGTCCTCCAGTCCATCTGCTCTCTGCGCGTAAAATTGAAAGAAATGTTTCCTAAGCATCGATTTGATGTATAAAGTTGTTGGAGATACACTTCAGCCTACCTATCAGAAGCATCATAGGATGTTTCTTTCTCGTTTTATTTTTTTTTGGTTGAAAAGAAATGACCCAGGATGCTCGCGGGAGTGATATGAGAACTCCTCACAAGCGCCTTGGCGACGGCTCCATGTCTGTTAGTGTGGAGCGTCACCTGCTGGAAACTCTGTCCAGCATCCCAAATTACACACATCAGGGGCAGGGGCCTAATATCATCTGTAAATACGCTGGAAATTCGTTGTGACTAGAAGAGCACAAAGTGGAAGACTATTTATGGATATTCCATGAAGTTGATGATGCACGATGCATGCAGCTTCAGTGAGATGCTGCATGACACCAGCAAGGACCCAGGATTAGTATAAAATCCAAACAACTAATCCGAGTGTTGGACGTAAGATACAACGCATAATAATAAGTTTGAATTGGAAACCATAAAACACGAGTACCTTTCCCAGTCAAAATGCCAAGATGGGTCGGTTAAGCCGGAGGCCGCACTCGGCCTCCGGCGTCGGCCAGATGCGCCGTCGAGGCCCTGCGAGCAGGGCCCACAGCCCATAGTTGGGAAGGTACTGGCGTTAACTAGAATGAAGGCGTAAAACAGTTTGCTCGGGAAAGTGAATGGCGATAGAAGAAACAATGCTGTTTGCATGTTCTATCAACACGCAGACTCTCAATGGCATCGTTCCTGATGGCTGATCATCCGAGACAATCAAACATACCTCCGTCAAGAACCTTGCGGAAAATTGTGATTTGTGTCAGCCTCATTGTTAAGGACTTGTACTTGCTATCACAAACGAACAACCAGACAACATTGCAAACATGTTGAAGAACATCATATGAAAAATATCGTTCCAGGTTTCTTATGTTTATAAATAATTAGTTTTCCAAGATATTGCCATGTATTCATTGTTAGAGTTGGACATCATAGTCCACATGCCTGCGTACGTTTTAAATCCAGAGATGCCCTGTGCATTAATATTATTTTTGCAGAAGTGTATCCCCCATCTCTAGTGCGCTTTTTACTCCTTGTTGCCGATCACATTTTTCAAAAGTTTGACGAGCTGCTGAGGTCACTTCAAAATGTAGTCTTGTTGTAATTCCTCTTGATAGATTTTTGCAAATATTCTTAATTGGAATGATGATTATATGTGGAGAGAGACACTGTGCCAGTGCAAAGTGGAATATCAGTAAAAAAAAAAAAATGCCGTTAGAAACATTGATGATGGAAGTGTTACAAATATAATTACTCAGTTTTTTCCAAACTAGAACCATACGTGGAGGAATGGACATTCCGAAAGCGTTTCTTTTTATCTTTGATGCCATGCTCTGCTAGGTATGCGGAGGAATGCACATTCTGAAACATAAATTGCAGTGTCAAATCATTCCATTTGCTTTTCTATATTATTTTTAAACCACCACTACCCCTGCCGGCCTAATATGGACTTTCCTGGCCTTACGGGTTCTCAAGGGGGGGTGGCGACTGGCAGGCGCAGGTGGGTCCGGTCCAATAATTTTCAAGCGCAAACTTACACGGTGAAGTAAATCTGATTTTTTGCGATAAAAAAAAAAAAATTGCGCTCAAAAAAATTGGTAAGAAAATCTGAAAATTTGATTCCCTGTCGATTAGGCTGTGATCTTTCCAGGAAAAATATCAAAAAAATGACAAAAAAACGAATTTACACGGTGAAGTAAATAACGCGCCATTTCTTCACATTTTTTATTTTTGCTACTCTACCACCTATGGGCCAACTAGAAAAGTAACCCAACTTTCGTGATTTTTTGCGATCAGAAGGATGACCCAACAACTCTGGAAATTCGACGGTCCATAGATTTTGTCGTTGTGATCTTTACAAGAAAAATACTTTTAAAAATTTTAAAAATTATTTGAACCGTGAAATAAATCGTGGGGCACCGCCAGTTTCCCCCACTGTGCTACCGGTGGCCCTCATGGACCTGTGCTACCGGTTCCCCCTAATTTATGATGGCGGGGGTAGTGGTGGTTTAAGCTTTTATTCCCCCTGTTAGGTATCGAGTATTATTTTGTTGCAAGTTTGATAAAAACATTTCATAGCATTCCTTCATGTGGTGCTCAATATAGACTATAAATTCCAGGGCATTGTCAATGCTGATGACTTTGATAATAAATAGAATGATCTAAATGCATCTGTAACTTCGACCATTAAAATAACATATGTTGGACAATCTCTTTCTCGCATATCATTGCTCATCTTACCTCATCGGGAAAAACAATATTATTCAACTGTCAATTAAAGCAAATAATCCAGAACCCATTTGTGTTGATCTTATTGAGGGTATTCTGAAAGCAAAAGAGAATATTATTGTTTTTTTTCTTTATCCATTTAGTAGAAAGTCACAAAAACTAAACCTAATTCAGTAATTCTTCATTTCTCAAAAACATTAGGATTATAGAAATCAATAAAATACATAAGTGATTACGCATGAAATGTAGAATAATATGTTCAATTAATATGTTCTATTGTTTTATATTTTATTCATTTTATTATGGTAAATATTGCACAAATTGAGATCTAAATAATGCAATTTTTATTTTTTAATTCAATTAAATAATTGTTATAAAATAATATGTTTAATCAACAATATGTTTAATCAAGATTTTTTTGTGTTAAACTATAAAAGAAGAAAATAAAAAAATATATGACAATGGGAACTTAGCTTCCGTTTGGGCATGCGTCATTGGATTGTTGTTGCATATTTTGCTCCTGTAGCAACAGCTGCTGCTGTGTTTTTAAATTATCCTATTGGACAAGGAAGCTTATCTGATGGAATGGCTTTGGGTATTTTTGGAACTTCGTACCGTGAGGGGAAGGTGAAAAGAACCTCTGTAGGGGAGTGAAAGAAAACATGAAACCGTAGGCTTTCAAGCAATGGGAGGAGAATTGTATCTTTGACCGCGTGCCTGTTGAAGAACCTATTTTTGCTGCTATTCTTAGTATTCTCGTATAAAAATAACCATCAAGAAGAGGTCAATAGGTGGACGACTATCTTTTAATACTAGTGTGCAAAACATTATTTTTGGAATGTACAAAATCGCTGCTATGGAGTACTATTTTTATATCATTTATAGGAATCGCAATTATATGATGTCAAACAATACTTACGGAACAAACCTGCGTACGTATCAACTAATTGTTGTAATTACAACAACCATTCTAAAGTCTGTGTAAGAAAACACCTACCACCTCCAATGTCGCCCGAAACTAAGTAATTTTTTTACTATTTTGTATATGGTTTGGGTTAATCTCTCATGCACGATGACATAAGGTTTTTGTAGCGTGACTCCGTTTTGCCAAAGCGAGCAAATTGCATTATATGTTGTTTCACTCCATATATACGAGATTGACAACAATTTATAACACTGTATTAACACATAAAAAAATATATGCTTCAATTGGTTTTTTTTTACATTTTTTTATATTTTCCTTGATTTTGATAGTATGAAAATTTGCTTTCAGTGGCACGACATCAAAAAGTATACTTACTAGTGTCAAATCAATCCATACTTTTATATGGTTGAAACGTATGAAGTGAAAGCGTTCAAAGGTGGGAGGCATGTGGAAGATGGTGGGAGAGAGGTGGCAGATAGTAGGAGGGAGGTGGAGGCTGGTGGGAGCGGAGGTAAGAGGTGGCTGGAGGAAGGTGGAGGATAGCGGGAGAGAGGTGTCAGATAGCAGTAGGAAGTTGGAAGGAAGGGAGCTACCTATTTAACCCGAAAACAAGGTACTTTCCTTATATACGAATATAAGGTACGAAGTACCTCTTGTAGAACTAAGTTTAGGGTGCAACTTTCCTAAGGCGAGGGGAAAAGGAGGGGAATTCAAAAATATAAAGTAAATATTAGTAATAAGATGAGGAATAAAATACAACTCTTTGTTGGCGTACCTGTGTAAAACAACTTCTTGTAAGTAGCTCAGTATGTGGAAAAAAAGGAAAGGCAAAAATAAGCAGCCCACTACCTTTCCTTTACT